ACAATTGGTAGTTTATCTGAAATTTGTCAGGAGTGTAAACATTGTCCATATCGAGGCGTTTGAACCATTAGGGATGTAATTTAATGGCTTAAATATTTTATTATTCTTCCTTCAGGTGAGCATTTTAAGTTGAAATAAGACCTTCTAAATCAAGACTAATAACATTTTATTCTACTAGTTTCTGAGTTTACTGATCGTTTGAGGAACCAGTAACAAGCATTCGTGTGAAAGTGAAAGCTATTAAAACTTTTCAGTTCGTGTTTCAATACATGTTACTCGCTGTCCATAAAAGTATCTGAAGCATTTACTTGATGTAAACAACAATTTACCTTTCACATTGTAAGACTCCCTTTAAAACATAAGACGTGAAAGCCGATAATTTATACTGAAAGAAACAAAAGTTTAACTATCCATAGATCAGTATTTAATGCGGATTTACAGTTACTGAATGTGTAAACGAATCATATAGAATATGTTACATTTACTCCTGTTTTATAAAGTAGTTTCCTTGTCATTTATTTATCTACAGTAATACTATTTAAACTATTAAAACAAAAAGCGCAAACTGTGGTACTTTTTCTCAACGGAAAGTGATAAAAAAGCTCAAATAATATTTCTGAATAACTCATATTTAATTCAATAAAAAATTGCATTTTTTATAGTCACTTCATTTCATGGACATAGCCAAACACGAGTATTGAATCATATAATAGTTTACAGCTTTGATACTTTAACATGCAACAATAAATAATAACAAAAATTAACTTTTAGCTCAATGTTACAGATTCAAAGCACTAACACACACACACAAAAATTACAGACCTACTCTACGCTCAAAAACGAACCGATACCCATAAACATATAAATACTCTATACTCAGAATTACGTATCGTTACTCATAAACATAGAAATACGCCCAACTGTTATCCATTAATACAAAAACATTCTTTACTCAAACTACCAATTGTACTACTCCGTAACACAAAAAGACTGTATTAATATAACACTATGGTCTCTAAAAATGAACATAAAATGCCCACTCAAAACGACGACCTCTACTTAATAACACAAACAGAAACTGCTTACCCAAATGATACATTATCTCTAAAAGTGAAAATAAAAATATAGATACTTAGTAAAGTTTTGTGTTTGACATATTTGTTTGTTTCGGAATTTTGCGCTAAACTATATAAGGACTGACTGAGTACAGCAGTTCCTAATTTTGAACTGATATACTAAGTAGTAGGCAACTAATCAATAGCACCACCGCTAATTCTTGGTCTAATCGAAGAGAAAGATTTTACTGTCGCTTTTATAACACAACCATAACCCCAAACTGTGAAGCGCATTTTTGCAGTAACAGGTAGAAAACTTGAATTCTTCGATTCACAGGCTGGGAATGCTAAACACGAGGCCACGCCCGGTCCCATCAAATCAGTGAACGTATACATTACAAACACAACTAGGATGAAATCATTATACACTTTATATAAAATGCCGTATAAATCAGCCTCCATACAATTTTCTGGATTCGAGATATATGATCTTCCTGTCGAATTTATTTTACTCCAAAACCATATATAGAGAATTGGACATTAATAACTTAGCTTTAGGCTCGTCCCACAATGTTAATACGATAAAATGATATTGTGATCCCAATAAATATTAATATCACTTAAGTACTTGAACTAAGTACTTAGGATACGATTTCAAAAAGCAATAAAAGCGGGGGAAGGGATTGACAGAAGTAGATAATTCTAAGAGTTATTAACGAACTCTTGTAATATCCAGAACAAGTTTTTCTCTTGTAAGAGGAAACTACAACTAAATCAAATGGCTTCAACTTACACCGAACTAACTTATATTAATCACGAAAATATGCGTTTTCTCACGACGAAAAAAAAAGGGGGGCAAATACAGACAATTTATGTACAAATAAAGACGTAGCTCTCTGTCTAACGAGGAATAAAAACTGAAAACTCAAAATCCTTTTTTTTTCTGATATGTTCTCACGCGAATTTCATGTTTATATCTACTATACCATCTTTACGGCTAAGCAATTCAACAACAGCTTGCTGCAATGACCTGGATCTGTTTTATATTGTTATCTACACTGTACAACACAGAGAACAGTCAGACGATCCAGCTGTACCGAGCGAAACGATGGCAGAGCTGAGCATAAAAATCGGGGTACAGGTGTTCTTTACATATGCGCATTGCATACTAACCCATACCGGTGCGGTAACTATCCAATATCAAGGAAAATATTCTCTCTATGGACAAATCTCTTCCTAAACGAATAGACCGATCCAGACCAAACTTAGCATGCTAAGTTAGTAGTCCAGTAGGAGAATAAGAATATTGCTGTTGTTTAGGTCCCCCCTCTTTCCTAAATAACACCATTTTACTTGTAGCTTATACTAAGGTTAGAATAAGTACTTAAGCCTCAATTAAAGAAGTATTTCATAATTAAAATATTTTTAGGATATTTCTTACTTCTTGATGAAGAATATAGTTTCCCGTAGAAGCATAATTGAAGGTTATTATTAAATTTAATGCATTAAATGTAACAAATTCAGACAGTAGAAATCTTGACCACATCTCTACTGTGAAATGAGCTGCTTTCAACAAGAAGTGACGCAGCTGCTTTGCCATTTCTGACAAGTTTCTCGACTCGACTACTAAACCTCCTCACTTCCCCTGTATTATAACAATTTTCTAGGAAAATGAACGCTACTGAAAATATTCGCAGAGATTTAGCTCTTTTTTAGCACATTTCTGCATGTTTTTCGCGTTTACATTATAAAAACAAAAACGAAGGAGTACACTCCTCAAAAAATAACCTAATCTACAAAGCTTTTAAGATAAAATACTTAAAGTGTATTACAAGAGCTCAAAAAGAAAGCCCATTATGGACTGAGAGTTCACTTTTACTTGTAGACTTTCACCGAATCTGTCGGGCTTTCCCCACGGGCAGAGCTGGGTATAAAATTTGCCCCTAAAAAATTAGTCCAATTACACATCTACTTAATTATTATACTCATGTTTAACACTGACGCTGTCCCAAAGTTGTTTCTCTACTCGTAATACTGAAACTTGTCCGAAAGTTATCTCCACTGGTTAATATTAACCCTATCCGAAAGTTGCTTCTCCACTCTTCAATACTAATATTTTTACGTAACTTATTATCTCCACTGTTTAATACTGACACTTGTTAGGAAATTACTATCTCCACGTTTTTTACTCTACTGTTTAATACTGACACTTGTTCGGAAGTCGTTATCTCTACTGTTTAATACTGACACTTGTTAGGAAATTACTATCTCCACGGTTTTTTACTGACACTTATTCGGAAGTCGTTATCTCTACTGTTTAATACTGACACTTGTTCGGAAGTCGTTATCTCTACTGTTTAATACTGACACTGTCCAACAATTGTTTTTGTACTGTTTAACACTGACACTTGTCCGGAACTTGTTATCTCTAATGTGCAGTACAAAGACTGGTAACGATGCAGAATGTCCCTGTTCTCTCTATATATATAACACAGGTAACAGCTTGAAAATTAAACTTTATCTTAAACAAACCTACGTAAAAGTTGTTTGCTTTGCTGTATGCATTTAGAACAGCTCAGAAGTTGGAAGTTGTTCTATTATTTTAAAAACCTCGAGAATGATCACAAGAAAGTGAATCTCCATTTTACAATATTATAGGCAGTTCAACAATTTATATTTTTATTCTCTGTATAGGAAGGATAGTTTAGAAGTTGCGTTCAGCAATGAGACTCGGAAATGTTCAATGGACTTCATAATACTAGTGATGATTCAGAACTTACTCTATCCACTGCTTACGCTTGGCAAAGCAACCGGAAGGTGCGCTGTCCTCTGAGTAAGACTAGAAATAGCCCCTGGAATTGTTCTCGCAACTCATCGAAACTAAAGTAGTGAACTTGGTGTATCTACACACCTTCCACACACTTATCTTCAAAGCTCCGTTATTTTGACAACAGAGTAATGTACGTAATTCTTCAAAAGTAATTAAATAAAGAATTTAGAAAGCAGCAGATCCAAGTTTTTAACGGACTATGATATCCATTAATTGACCAATATCTATTGATTTGTCACTATGATAAAGAAAAATGTTGGAACAGTAAAACTTTATGAGGTATATATTAATAATTAGTTTTTTTACTTTATAATTCGCACTCAATTTTAATTAAAACATTGAAACAAGTTGTTTTCGACAAAACATCGATCAACAGAAAAGTTGACGAACAAGCATTTTTACAGTAAACGATGTACAATTCCATAATCCTAAACTCAGCTTTACAGTAAACGATGTACTATTCCATAATCCTAAACTCAGCTTTACAGTAAACGATGTGCTATTCCATAATCCTAAACTTACTTTTACGGTAAACGATGTATTATTCCCTACTCCTAAACTCAGTTTTACAGTAAACGATGTGCTATTCCATAATGCTAAACTCACCTTTACAGTACACAATGTACTGCTCCATAATGCTAAACTCACCTTTACAGTACACAATGTACTGCTCCATAATGCTAAACTCACCTTTACAGTACACAATGTACTATTCCATAATCCTAAACTCACCTTTACAGTACACAAAGTACTGCTTCATAATCCTTAACTCACCTTTACAGTACACAATTACTACGCCATATTTCTTAACTCACCTGTACAGTACACAATGTACTATTCCATAATGCTAAACTCACCTTTACAGTACACAATGTAATGCTCCATAATCATAAACTCACCTTTACAGTACACAGTTACTACGCCATATTTCTTAACTCACCTTTACAGTACACAATTACTACGCCATTTTTTAAACTCACCTTTACATTAAACAATGTACTGTTCCATATTACTAACTTCACCTTTACAGAATCCATATTTAAGAAATTAACATTATAATAACGTAAACAAAACGAGAACTCACCATCGAATATCATACAACTACAGATATTTACCTGTCTAGTGAGAAGAGAGGTTGTCAACAGTTATAAATCAAGCAAGCTCTACATAGTATTATCAGCTTTCAAGGTTTTTCGTGAATTTACTCATGTGACGTCAACTCCAAAAACCATCAACAACGCAGTGTTTCCTCCACTGTTTCGGTTTCGTACGTTGGCGCTAATGAAGGAAATCGGTTAAAGCACAGTCCCCAGCCCGTACAAGTCGGAAAGAGCAAGAAGGCTGCTAGACAACTTGGCGCCACTACTACGCAGTCGCTGCTGGAACTCTAACGGCTCAAATGTGCAGTATGGCTCACACAAGAATTGTTCAAATTGACAGAAAGGTGGGGGCTAGAGGAAGCTAGACCTTTGATATGATCGGAATATGTTGTGGATTTTCTATGCAATCACTTCAATTATTTTGTTTTTAATTAGTGAAAGCAATATTTTTATATAAGTACATTCTAAGAACTTATCGGTGTAAGTAAAGAAGAATGTATAACAATATGATTTATGTAATTACTAGAAAAGATATCACAAGCAATACCACCAGGTATTACATTATCAAGAACTAGCTGGAGTACCCGTCCCCGGAATGGAAGCTATGTAAATTTACAATTAATGAAAGGTTATCTTTGGACCTGAAAAAGTTGTTTCCGTTATAAGTAATTGTAAAAAACGCCCATAAAAATGTAAAACATGAAATGTGAAACCGCAAAATTGTAATTATCTCCGCATAGGCCCAACAAATCTTCATGCCAAATTTGGTGTAGGTCCATCAACAGGAGACGAAGTAGTGATAAAATAACGTAACCCCCCCCCCCCATAAAAACCGCACCAAACGCAAAATGTAAACTGAAAATTTGTATGTATCTCCCGATGGACCCAGTGAACCTCTATAGCAAATTTGCCGAAGTGTTGGTAAAAAAAAAAGCAAAAACGCCCATAAAAACCACAAAACTGCAAATTTGTATGTACCCCCGCATGGACACAATGAACCTCCATACCAATTTTGGTAAAGATCCATCCACACCCTGCGAATTAGTTACATGAATATACAACAGACAGTACTATTATATTTATATAGATACATTTACAACAAATATTCTCCTGAATGTCGGCACGACGTAATTTTAAACAAAAACAATAAAATATTAAACAAATAATTATTGATCGATAATGTGATATATATATGTGTGTATAGTTATCTGAAAGATTGTCTCGCATGCTAGATAATGTGATATGTAGTTACCTGAAACACATTTAACATAATTCAGCTTACTAACTCCTGCGATTTTTAAACCAGCCCAAACAGGAAAGACAAAATTAATAACGATTACGTCCACACCAGTAAAGTAAGAAGCTAAATAAGTTCGTGATGATCAATAGTGACGTCATTTTAAACATAAATATTTACGTGATCGCGAGTTATGATGTGCAGGCTGGAAATTCAAAGACATCTCTTAACGTGGTAACTATATAGAGTTCAGACTTAATAGAAACATAAAACCCGATTTTGGTTCACAGGTCGTAAATTCAAATTTCTTTAAGCTTCTTATCCGATAGGTGCTCACTGAAGACCCTCGTGCCATGACGTACTATTCAGTGCTCGTGACTCACGATTTATTGCGCATTTACGACGATGTTGATCTCGTATGGTTCCAGACAAACCTTATTATTTTACTTTTTTTTTGTTTTGTTTTTGAATTTCGCGCAAAGCTACACGAGGGCTATCTGCGCTAGCCGTCCCTAGTGTAAGACTAGAGGGAA